CTGCTGACAAGAGGAATCATCAAGGACATTCGAGAATGCAAGTGCGGAATATGTGGTGAGGAAGAAGAGGACGCAAAGCATTTGTTCTTGAGATGTAACATGGTCCGATGGTTATGGATGGCTTGTGCAAAGTGGTGGGGAATTAAAGTTACATTGGAAGAGGACTGCTGGAACACCTCCCAAATTCCTGAAAGAGAACAAAAAGAGAAATGTATTAGAGATGGATGCGATTGCATCTGGAATTCTCTAGTGTGGACAGTGTGGCTGGCCCGTAATCAAAAAACTTTCCAAGGCAAAGAGATTAACCGGGAGAAGCTGTTGGAGCTCATCCAATTAAAGTCATTCCACTGGATCACAACAAAAAAAGAAAGGTTTGCCTTCACTTTAACGGACTGGTTTCTTAATCCAGTTGCATGCTTGAAAGATTGCCGTGGGAAAAGAAGGGTACCAAATGAATAATCTGTAGGAGGGGAGGGTATTGTTGATTTCTGGAAGGTTTGTCTATGGTTTTTTGCTTCTGTGGTTTGAATTACTGAATAATGGGGGCTCACATAGGCTTTATTGAGAAATTATTGACTGTAGTGGTTTTCAGCTATAGTCAATGCATGATCAATGTATTGTGGGTCAGATGGGGGGTAACGGGCGAGGGTTTGTTGATCTGAACAGGGAGATAGGATGAGAAGGCAAAAGATGGCAGAATCCTCGTTACGGGTATAGTGTCGACACTTTTCTTGGGTGTCGACACCTTGTATTAAGTTTTGAGGTTTATGAGTTTGGAGTACCCCTTGTATTTCATTTTATTAATAAATAATATTTTTTCTGTTCAAAAAAAAAAAAACAACCAGAAAAACTATTATTGTTACTCCAGATTACTGCACAACCATTTGTTAACAGACTCAGATAAGGCGAAATGCAGTCTCTGGTTGGAATCTTGTTTCCATCTTCTATACTGAGCATGACATCTAGATTGATTGTTGGATTGTTCTAGTTCAGGAAGCAGACAGCACAGTTTCAATGGTCATCATGTGTCTGCCTTCCATGTGGCGAAGACTTGGTAAAATGGATGTGGCTGATTGATCAAGGTGTGGTAAAATATGTTTCTGTTTTTTATTCTCATCCCTGTCTACTCTTTGGTTTCAAATTTGATATCATGCTTCTAAAGTTGCATAAGTAGGCTCTCCAGCCAACAGTGCAATTTCACTGATATGTTGATTTTATTTCCTTTTGATATGATTATTACTAAAGAGCACCATTTATTTGGTTTATTTATTTTGACGATTCACTCGCGCATCTGAGAGGAGCAGAGGGTAAGTACCTGGAGTTACTGGTTTTTCAGATTAAATTGTCAAATTGTCAAATGATCTCAAAAAAGGAAAACAAAAAAAAAAAAAAAATTGCCAAATTGCCTATATACTCAATTGAATACGCAGCCCTTGTTTTTATTCTTTATGTGTTTTATAATTTTTTTTTATAATTTTTTTTTTTTGATGCAAGGCAATCATAATCCTATTGGCTATTGCTAAGGGGGAAGGGGGATGGGGATGTTGCCACTGAGAATCAAACCTCTTGCAGAAGGCAAGGGCATACCACAAGGTCAAGTAGTTGAACCACTTGAATTAGAGGCTTTTGTGGTGTGGTTTGGCTTAAATTTTAATATTTTT